TGCCATTATTGCTCGCTATTGAAAAAAAAACCTCTCAATCTACCACGAACGCGGCAAATGGTTGCTAAGATACTCTAATTAAATCCACTAATCCTTTTTTCCATTTGATTATTAGGAATAACACGACAAAGAAAAAATAAGGTTGATAACGTTCTGAGATTACAGTCTGGTTCTTGGCGGCATTTTAGTGGCTTTTTATATATCGATGGTGACATCTAAAGGGTATTTAGCTCCTAAATTAGAAATACTGTCATATTTGGTTAGACTTCACTGTTCTTAATAATGACAAACAGTGTTTTGTTAGGAAAGCGATTCTATTCTCGTCTTAGGGGTCGTTTACACTGGCGATTTTTGCTGCGATTTTTGTGCCAATTTTCGGAAATATGAAATCTTTTGTCTCATCCTTCAAAAGAGACATTCGTCTAGGAAAATCTTGGTATCCTGAAAAAAACTTTACAAGTAAATTCTTTACCATTATTTATTATGGAAAAAATCGCAAAAAAATCGCAGCAAAAATCGCCGCAAAAATCGCTAGTGTAAACGGGGATTTACATATTAAAAACTCCTCTTATAATCAAAATTCTTCTAGGCTGGAAGTTAAGACAAGATTTACTTGTTTGAAAAAATACCTTACTTATTGATTTACTTATTTATCAGTTTCGCAGATTTTTTTTTTTTTTTTTAATTTGGTTCGTATTGATAGCTGCTTCAGAAGAGAGGCATGTCAATAAATAAGTTTCTATATTGCGCTTCGTCAGTTCAGCACCACAGTGACTTAGAGCTAGCTACGGTACAGTACGTCACACCTTGAATGCCTTAAGGTGGATGTTTTATCTTATACGAACGTCATTTTCACCAGGAAGTATTTTGTCAGGTTGGAAATTAATTTCTTACTATTTGGGAGTTGCCTACAGCAATGCCTGATTGAGGGCAAACAAGACATCTGATCGATTTGATTCTGCACCAGTTTGACAGTTCTACTCAAGCTATGGACCCGATAATAAAATCACGAACACAGGTTGTGTATAACCTCTCTCTTCTGGGAACAGTTTGTTTGTTATTTCCCCTGCTCGAGGGTTTTTCTCCCTCCTCTAAATCTGCACGTTATTTTTTTATTTTGTTTTGCCCTGACTTAGATCAGCCCAGAGATTGTTTCAGGGTTCAATCTGTGAGTTAGTCATGCCCTGCTTAGATCAGCCCAGAGGTTGTTTCAGGGTTTGATCTGTGAGTTAGCCTTGCCCTGACTTAGATGATCAGCACAGAGATTGTTACATGATTCGATCTGTGAGTTAGCCGTGCCCTGACTTAGATCAGCCCAGAGGTTGTTTCAGGGTTCAATCCGTGAGTTAGCCGTGACGTGACTTAGATCAGCCCAGAGGTTGTTTCAGGGTTCAATCTGTGAGTTAGCCGTGCCCTGACTTAGATCTGCCCAGAGATTGTTTCAGGGTTCAATCTGTGAGTTAGCCATGCCCTGCTTAGATTAGCCCAGAGGTTGTTTCAGGGTTTGATCTGTGAGTTAGCCATGCCCTGACTTAGATCAGCCAAGAGGTTGTTTCAGGGTTTGATCTGTGAGTTATCCATGCCCTGACTTAGATCAGCCAAGAGGTTATTTCAGGGTTTGATCTGTGAGTTAGCCGTGCCCTGACTTAGATCAGCCAAGAGGTTATTTCAGGGTTCAATCTGTGAGTTAGCCGTGCCCTGACTTGGATTAGCCCAGAGGTTGTTTCAGGGTTGAATCTGTGAGTTAGCCATGCCCTGACTTAGATCAGCCCAGAGTTTRTTACAGGATTCGATATGTGCACGTATTATAGCTGTGCCCTGACTTTGCCAGATGTTGTTTCAATCTGTGAGTTGGCTGTTCCCCGAGTTAGAACAGCCCAGATGTTGTTTCTGTGAGTTAGCCGTGCCCTGAAGTAGATCAGCCTCTAAAAGGTTATTTCAGAGTTCAGCTACATGTGATCATAAGCCCTATGTTCATATAAACGGTTTCATAGAAAACCATTGCGAGGTTCTAGCTTAATTCAGCCACTTTTTTTTCTCACTCCGATAACTTTTCCTTATTTCCCCGATTTTGAAACGACATTGTTTGAACTCTATTTATCTTTCTTATCATTGCTTTCTAATAGTTTATCTTAGAGTTATTAAAAGGTGTGGGCTTCAAATCCGACTATTTTGGGTTAGCGAAAAGAAACTAAGACCTTTATTAGGCACTAAACGACACGATATGAAGATAATCCGTACATTTTTAGCAGGTTTCTTTTTAAATTCTTCACAAAAGGTTTGAATTGCATTTGGTATAATGACGGATGAAGGAAATGAGACGATAGAGCGTTTTAATTACAAAACCTCCACGCAAACCTTAGAAAAAAGAAAGAAAGAAWGAATGAAGCAGCAGCAAACCACATGAATGAGTGCAATAATCAGTTACTGACGACACTGATGACAACAACTGATAATTTGGTCTTCAAACAACATTCTTATGATGCAAATTTGATTTTTTATATCATTACAATGCWATAAGACATGAACAATACGCTGTTAGATTTTCCCAGCTTGATCAATATCACTAATATATTGTCTTCCTTGTATTAATTAGCCCAACTGGACATGGTCATGTTTAACGTTAGATTGAACCCGATACAGACCTTCGACATTTTCAAAATTTCTCCGGCAATAAGCTTCATAAATGAATTCAAAAATAATCTCTTCGTTAGCAGTATTCTGGACATGGGAAAACCAATAGAAAAATACATCGAAAACTATCTAAGGTTATACATTTTTAGCACCATCTTTTTCTCTCGATATATATATATTTTTTTCGTTCTCACCTCTTATCTTTTTATCTTACTATTAAAAAAATCGCATATGTAATACCTCTGACAGAATGTCAGTTGTGCAGAATTACTATAACGAATGATCTAATGTTTCCACAATCGACAGATTATTTCCTAACAGCTAGCGAAGTATTTGGATTAAGAGCTATAAAAAAACTGCAGCTGAAAAAGGGTCTAAAGAACGGCTGGTCAGTCATTAAGATATTTGTTTGAGGAACAACTTGTTATGAAACACAAAATCCAAGCTAAGGATTACAGAACTGAAATAAAGTTCGGGTTTTTAACGAAACACATATTTACGGGCGCTCCAAAAAGCCGGAAAAGCGAGCCGCAAACTTCAACGAAGTGTCAGTGCTTTCCTGTTCGTCGTGCAAATACCTTTTTAACGGGGTTGGTATAAATCAACAAAGAACCAGGACTCGGTATTATTACTATWAAAAAAATGTACACAAATCGTATTTTTGGAACAGAGTATTAAAGAGTTGACGTATGATATCCTGTCAAAAATGAAGCTGTTAAGAAGCCTAATGTAGGCTTTGAATCGCTTTTTCTTCTTCTCCTACCCGTTATACTAAGGATTACTTTAGATTTAAGCCGCTTACTCACCGCTCGAGAAAGACGTCCTTATGGCTAATGAAGAAAACGAAAAAAAGATTGCAAAAGCCGAAATAATTTGAAAGAAAAAATGCGCGCTTCTTGTTCGCTTCAAAAAATGCGCAAACGCTAAATGATTACTTTTCATTTCAGTTGCACTGATTAGTACTCGAGTAAAAACTATCCAACCGGAATATTACAATTTTCTTGTATTCCTGCCTGCAATATTCAACGAGAAATCCCCCAAAAATATTCATTCTAGACTAATAAATTTTTTTTCAAAAAGAGAATATTCTTACTTGATTCAGCAAAATGTGGTTGTGCAATCCAATTCTGTCTCGCCGAATCGACCAGAAAACAGAGTTGACTGATGGTAGACCTGATATCCTAGAACTGGAAACTGAGCCGGCTTGTTTGCGCTGATTTGAAGACGATACGAACCGAGCCCGCGATTTTTTCCCGCGTGGAGTATGCGCAGTAAGTTCTATAAATTGTTTTGGGGGGGGGGGGGGTGTCAGTTGGATGTATTGTTTGTTAACCTTTAACTTGAGTAATAGAAACTCTAAAGACTGTCTAATAGCAGATATATATTTTTGTTGAAATAGAGAATATCATTTCTAATGGTAAAATTTTAATAAAAACAACTTCTGAGCTGCTTCAAGATCCTATCACAATTTCAATTTCGCTGCTTCAAGATGCAAATGGAATTTAGCATAATAGGTCTCATCGAGGGAGGAAAATCCTCAATTCAAGGGAGAGACCTAAAAAATCTAGTTGTTAATTAAGGTCAAACCTTTATTGATGCAGTGTCACTTGAGGAATATTCGAATGACCGCTTAATAAAGGCTGATCACTTTATAGAGGTTCCATAACGTGTGGCATGCAATAACGAAACAATTAATTTGAATGTGGTGAATGCTGCAGTGGCCAAGCGCAGGCCAATCGACTCTTGTGCTAATTGCATATATCATATTGTTTGATAAACTGATAAAATAAACCAGACATAACACTACATATAAATGTAATATATTGTTTAACCTTTAATCAAGAATGCTGCTATAATTCTGATTAGAGGTAAAACAACATAAAAGCATCCCTTGCAGTCCAGGGGACATAGTAATAGGTTTCCAATTCTCAGGAGATTGAAATTCTTTTGTTTTGTCCTCCAAATTGATCTGCAATGACAATAGTTGAATAGACCTATCCCGAATTCGCTTGACTGGTCACGAAACAATAGTTTCAAGTCGAGGTTGAACTTGATGAATAAAAGAATCAAGTTCAGTCTCGACTTCAAACCATTGTTTCGTGGTCAGTCAAGCGAATTCGGGATAGGTCTATTTGCTGGTAGTTGGAAAAATAAGCAAAACACCAAGACTATAAAAATTATTTGAAAACATAACCCTTCTACTCTATGCTTTAAAAATTTTCTACGTGTTTCACCCCTAGGCATTCCATAATTCAAGATGCCTGCCATATCAGGAAAAAGGTTTACTGGGAAATGTAACGACGTTCTCAAGTTTCCAGACAGACACATTTAGTTCCCAGGACAAGAGTACAAGAAGCAACAAAGGATATTGTTCACGGTAGTAATTTATTGCGCTTGACGACACAATACAATAATAAACCTAACGGTACGACTTCTGGTAGCGTGCACGGGCACCAGGTCCACCAAATTTCTTGGCCTCCATGCGACGAGGGTCGGCAACAAGGAGTGATCKGTCATATTGGACAAGAATGTCACGGATTTCCTTCTTGGAGACCTCATCAACGACTATGAAGAAAGACAGAATTAGTGATAATATGGTTTGGGATACCTTTCAGGACATAGCTGTCTCCCTTGCTTGTTTATGAGTGATAAATGTTCTAATACTGTTCTTTGAACTTCAAGTTCTCTAAATCAGATAATCAGATATGCAATTCTCAGCTTACTGAACATGAGTCTACATGTACATTTTGATTTTATAAAACTCCCATCTATTACAGAAGTTCTGAACCTTTGCTCTACTCAGTGGAATAGAGCTCAAGCACTTCATTGCCCAGAGGATGATGGAAGATGAAAGACAAAGTAAAAAAGTTCCAATACTTACATTTCTGGTAGTAAGCTACRAGGGATTTTGAAATAGCTTGACGGATAGCTATAGAAATAAAAAAGAATCATCATTAATTGAGAATAGTTACCCCTGGATGAGATATCACAGCAGTTTATTCACCAATAGGTAATTTTGTTGGTAATGAATTACAGCCATTCTCAATCACATGTGCCCTCTAGCGATTGTTTGTCTCGACAAAGAAGGTCTTGGTGGGCGTCAATCACAAGGCGTTTCCATAACATTGTTGGAAAACACAAAGATATATGGGCACATGCTTATAGAATGTCATGGAAATGCCTGTATTGACGTCCACCAGAAGATTCTTCGTTACAGAAACAATCGCTAGAGCAGCGCGTAACTGTAACGAGTATCATCACTCCACTTGTGTGGGTGGTTTCAGAGTGCTTACCATATATTCTTGAGGTATGTCCACCACCCTTGACTCTAACTCTAATGTCAACACCTTCAAACCTTTCCTTTCCTAACAAAAGGATTGGTTCTTGGACCTAAAAATGCAAAATAATCAGGCGTAAAGCAAATTTATTTATATAAAAAATTATATTGTACAACCACTACTCCCTATATGGGGCTCTTCCGTGAGGTTACCTCCACACACACACATGCATTTTGTGTAGGATATTTATCTGTTCCAGTCCATACATGATATCTGGGCTTTAAGTCATGGACAGTGTCCAACCAGAATATTGGAACATGTCCAGTAAAATTTTCGCCTCACTGTTCATTTTGACCAGTAATGTAGAGCCCTAAACAAAGTATGACTAGGCGCCTTCAGAGCTAGAGGTCCATAGTTCAATCCTCAGGAACTCCACGTCTGTTTCGACTTCTCTCTATTCTGTGTAGCTTTAATTAGCTTTAAACACCCGTAAAAAGGAGCACTGATAGTAAGAGGGGGTAGAGGGCGTACCTTCGAGTGCATTAAACATGAGCCCTTGGCTCGGGAGAATTGGGCAACCACTTCCCACGTTATCAAAATAAAATAAATTACCTTTACCTTAATTACAGAGCTAAAATTAATTTGACTGGCAATCATGACCAGTGACTGACCCGCCCTTATTTTACACCCTAGATATAAGCTAGTTAAGTTTAATAATATTGTTACCTTGTATCTGAGGGTAGCTGGTTCAACCAGATCTAGAGGTACCCCATTAACCTTGATCAAGCCATTACCACGCTTGCAGAAAGCCACTGCAGTGGCAGTTTTCTAAAATTAACAATTATACACAACAACATTACTAAATAAGTAAAACGGACTTAAATATTGTGAGTTAGTCAAGCTGTTGAATAGTTGATGTCACCTAAATTAGATAAGTTATTAACTATTTAAGACGACGTCACATAAATTGGAAATTCCTGTACCAACGGACTGAAAATCAGGGGAAAACAAAGATGTAATCAAGTGTCTTCATGTATTCTCTGGTAATGTAAACCCCAGATTTGCATGACCGTTGATTTGGCACATACTTACTACTTAGGTGACGTCAACTAAATAGCTATCTAAGTTGGATAAATTTATCTACACATTTTATCCGTAATCTAACATTTAATATTATGTCTGAACGCGAAAGCCTCAATACTAATTCCATCTAACTAATCAACAGTGACTAAATCCCATGCACTTTAATTCTTTTTAAAACAAAATGATATGAAAATAACCTTTTTAAAAGAAATCAGCTGTTGTACCTATTCAAATTAATAAAATTGGCTAGAAATTTTCTACTAAACTTAAAGTCATATAATAATAAACGAGTATGCTTAAAATAAGCTAACCATTACTAAATATTTTAAATACTGAATTGAAGGACGCCGACATAAATATTATCATCGTTTCAATTCGTATTCTCCTTTACTACAAATATTAATATAAAATATGAATTCAATTCTGTAATAAACTTCAGCTTTATTGTTGATGCCAAAGAAAGACTATTTAGCCGTCTAGAATGGAATTAAAAGTCAAATAATTTAAGAACCCTTTCGTCCACGTGCTATTTGGATCAAGCCCCGAATTTCGTAAACTTTAGACGCCAAAAAAATATCAAAGCAGCTCACCTTACGACCAAAAACTTGTACCGACTGCGACATCTACGATTAAAAAATATGATTTAAAGGTAGAATAAGAAATAGTGGAGATTTTTATAAGAGAATTTTGGGTTTAAAGAGAGTTAACTTACCTTATAGACCGATGACAAAATGGCGGCGAAGAAAGAGGAAGGGGTAGCGATGCGCATGCGTAGAGAACGTCTAAACGAGGCTCTCTAAAAAATATGGAAAGGAACGAGGGGAGTCTTGGATCGTGGATCGTTCTGCTTTATTTTATCGAGAATTAAATGTGGCACAAATCTTTGACATCATATTTTGAAATGCTTTACTTGTGCCTTGAGTTCTTCTTAACTATGATCGTTTTGAATTATTTCTTTAAAACAATCTAGCTTGACAAAAAAATGGCGTTAAAAATGGTGTTAGAAAATACATCGTTAGAAAATGTTAGAGCTCTAAGTCATTACTGAAATTGGTTTCACCAGCATTTTCTTCAAGTTTCCTCTATTGTTTTAACACATAAGTCCTTTTTGTGGACATGGAGTGGACACCCTCTCCTCTTCATGACATCTTATTCCTCTGAAAACGGCACATGTACCATGCACCCAGTTCCTCCATCTATTATTCCAATAAAAAGGAATAATGTTTCCCCATTTCAAACCATGTGACATTCTCTTGAGAACAAGATTCTTTGTTTGAGTTGTATTTCCAAATTCATGTGTCTACAGTGGCGGATCCAGGGGAGGGGTGCAGGGGGTGCGCACCCCTTCCTGGTTCGACTTTGTGCCCCTACTTCAAAGATTTAACCAATACAAAATAATATTTTTTCCCTTTGATTCTAAGGGGTGCACCCCTCCCTGGGTTAACTATGTGTGCTGCACCCCTTGCTGAACAAATTCCTGGATCCGCCCCTGGTCTATCCTCCTTTGCAAAGCAGCTTAGGGAATGAAATGTGGTTTGAAAGAGGAAAACATTACGACCAAGGTATAAAAGGGTTATTCATTTATTCATTAAACAAAACTCCTGAAAATCGATGAATCATGTAACTGCTGTTAAACTTTATTTCATATCTTAAGAAATTTTGTTGTTATTCTATATATTCTTACTATTATTTTAAGTTACTATCATAAATATAGTATCCTAGTCATTTCCTTTTCTAGCAATGTCTAATTTCTTCCAATCCAGTTCAAGCAAAGGAGGACACAAAAATCATGGCTGATTCTTGAGCTCTGTTAGTGAAAGAAGCCTTCCAAACTTGTTGAGTAAAGAACACTGAAAGATTTACAAATACTTTATTAAAAAAGTGTTAGTTGAAATTAATGAAATGTATAAGGAATAGTGAAAATTAAGTAATCTATACAAATTATTTTTAAAAAGATGCATAAAAGCTGCTCGAAAACTTACAGACATCTCCTTGTATGAGGTTAATAACATGAGTTTTGCACGATGTTTCACAAAACTCAACAGGTTTCAATTGAACTTCTGTAGTGCCAGAAACTTGTGCATACCATACATTGTCAAATGCTACAGGTGGCTGGTGATAGAAGGAGGAAAAGCTTTAATGAGATCAAGTGTAGAGGAAAGAAGGAAGGATAGAAGGATGGAAAAAAGGATGAGTGGAAGAATGGATGGAAAGACTGGTGAATCTATGGAATGAAGGATGGATGGAATGATGGATGGAAAAAGACAGACAGATGGATGGATGGATGGATGGATGGATGGANGGATGGATGGATGGATGGATGGATGGATGGATGGATGGATGGATACTAACCAGTTCAACAGTAGTAGGTGTGACTCCTGCTGGCTGCAATAGATGCATTATTTTTTCCAAAGCACCTTCACTATGCACAAAATATGGCCTGGGATAGAGTTTCCTGATCTCTCTAAAACCTTTGCCATAACAGAATTTCCTTCAAGAAAAAAAAACATTAATAACAAATTATATTTTTAAATATAATTAAAATTATAAAATATGAAGCTTTTTGTGAAATCCTTTTTTGACATTTTAAAATTTGATGTGACCAGACCAACAAGGCACCACCACCATGCCACTCTTTTTACTCATCCTTACCATCCTACAACATGTCCTTCAGGCTTGAAGTGTTCCCAATGTTCCAACAATTCTCCAAGATTTTTCGGCTTTTTCTCTTGTCCTCCTAAATAAAATTCACAAGCATCTACATCCATGGTCTCTTGATGCTCATAATATGTGTCTAAGAATTCTCCATAAGTGTGGTTAGCACTTCCATAGGTCTCTACGTCACGTACAATAACAGAAAAGCCAGGATCAAAGTATTTTTCTTTGAAAGCTTCTGGTGGGAGCATCTTACTGGATCGTATTGGTACTCGTACAGCTTTTTCACAGATGTCACATTCTGGGTTCACTAAAACGCAAATGGTTTGAAATGGATTTAATAAAAACCATTACGACTTGTACTACGTGCTGCGTCATGTGTGTTAAAGTAAGACAAACTGTATTTCGTTGCCATTTTCATGTGCCGTGGATGAATCTTGAAGAAAAATTGGCTTTTTTACTATGCTTAAAGAGCAAAAGAATTTGGTTAAAATGACTGCCATCTTACAGGACCTGATTTAGAAGAGAGGGACCTGGGGTACCCAACACCTCTGGAAGTGAGATCCAGGATTTTATCCTCAAATATATCTCAAGAATAAAAAATCCTTCACAGAAATCAATGTATTGTTTGTTCACATGTATGTTAATTGTGTGCATTAGTAAATGTTGGCATTAGAGAAACCCAGTATTGAACAAATTCACCATGTCTCTGATTGGGAAATGGTATGTACAGTTGCTAGTACCCTCTGTCCCTATTTTGGACCATCGTTTTGACCCTACCCCCTGAAAGCAAAGTTACATTGTACTTCAAAGAAACATCTGTTAGACTTTCCTGACAGCACACATTCTATAAAACGTCGTAGGGAAATTCCATAACATTTAAACTTACTTACATTGTACAAATGCTGGATTTTGGACAATGCATTCCCATTTATACATATCGCTAAGGTCAAAATATTGATGTAGAGGTAGGAACGCCAAACGGAACATTCGCACAACTGGGTACTGCCAGTCAGCAATAGTGCGTCCAATTAGAAGTCCAAACTGCTTGTCATGACTAGCCGCAATATAAAGACCCATAAACGTGACAATGATTAAGGCTATGATGATTGCCATAGTGATGATGAGATATTTGAAGAATGCGAAGACAGGGTTTGCAGGAGTTTTCACTGTTGATTTTTTTGGTTTTGCCTCTATGGAAAAACAATATCCACCATTTAAAAAATCAGAATTTCAAAGAAATAATTTATTGAACACGCAACAAATCCCAAAAAATACCACACTGACCATAATAGATCCATGATTTATAATTAGATTTCAAGATCAATCATTGAAAGGTGAGAAAACTTTTAGTATCCTCCAAGAATCCTGTCTATTAACAAGAGGGCTTCCAGCTGTCTAGGATCACATTTATTCCGAACGAGGTGTCATTTTAACCATTAATTTATTCAATATTATAAACTTTATGCCCTGAATTAAAGTAAGTCTTAAATATACATTTAAAATAAAAGTGTTTATTCCTCTTCTTCAAAAAATAGACCAACAAAACCAATAGTAAAGAATATATATTTTATATATAGGATGAAGGAAAGGAAAGTAATTATCTTAAGTTCATGCTTTTCAAAATTTACTGTTGAGTGTTCAACGCACAGCTGTTGCAAGCCTTATAGTCTTGAACAAGAAAAGACGCGCAAAATAAAACCAAACGTTTCGTTTAGATTTTAAAACATTTATCTAACAGATAACCACAGTTTACCAYATTAAAATAAACCGTACTTACGGAAAATAATTACGAGCTTTTTTATGTTAGAAAAGTTTAGACTTTAAGCTTAAAACTCAGCTTATTTTATTTTGAAGTTTGGGTACTTTTGAAAAAGCGGTTTCGGAAAAGATTACTAAAAACGGGGAAAGTTAACCACAAAAACACACAGAAAGTGCAGTAACATACCTCCTAAGGATTTAAGTATTGCATAGTCTATATCGTCTTGGTTTAGGCCAAGAGAAGCGCCTCTTTTGCGGAGTTCTTCGACTTCCTTTCTCAAGTCAAACGCCATGTTGTTTGTCAGACTGGTTCGTTAGGACTGCSCTGACTATGATGAACAAGAATAAGATGAGGGGAGGGGAGGGTGGGGAGAACAAAAAAAAATCTATCCATTGTTGAATATTTAAAACTCTCCCCTCTTCATGAATTGGCTATCTGACAAGGACCGCGGACCACCCTAAAAAGGAGGGGGGCTAAGATTTCGAAATATAAGAGACTAGTATGGAAAAAAGTGTGGGCTAAAATTGGAAAATATAAGAGACTATAGTACTGGAAAAGGTAAACTTGGGTGACTATAACCCCCCCCATGGTCCCTGCCTCTCAGAACAGAGCAATTGGAATTTACATTGTTATGCTTCGTAGAGGGAGGAAAAGCCAGATAGCCACCAAAAACCCTTGACCCTTCCATCGTAAACATTGGCCAGTGTTCAAATCCACAGGTAACCCAGAGAAGGTTGTTGCAGTTGTTTTCTACAAACATCCCACAACATGATGATACTCTTGGTATTAAATACTTTATTCAAAACTCCTAGTTTAGCTAAAAAATCAGGAAGGACCCCTGAAATAGCGCTAAAAAGACAATCTTATGTTACAATGATATTGATTCTTTGATCTTTACTATTACAATAAAGCAGCAGGGTAGTTTGATATTCCTAGTACGTTTTCATAACAGTCCAAGAAAAAACAATATAAAAATCAACTCTCGTGATATTTTACATTGATACAGCAGCAAAACAAGACAGCATAAAACAACAGAATGAACTTTACCCCTTTTCTGGAAGAATCAAAATTTCACATGAAAAGCAGATGTGACAATGATGTCTAAAATGCCAAGGTCTAGGCCTAATTCCCCTGTATTCTTCGATTGCAAGTTACATCACCGCTGCCATCTTGGTGGTACATTTAACAAAAGATTAAATCCATCGTGTAGTTCCAGAAAATATCCATATACCCCCACCATGGAGGGATTTTGTAAAAGAACCCCCCCTACCCCTAGGAACTTCCAATATTCTTCCATACAAACTCCGTAATTTTGTTCTTTCTCTGACCACCTCCCCTCCAGAATTTCCAGTTCCCTCCATGAGTGGGGTATGGATATTTTCTGGAACTACACATTGTTAATCACATCAAAATGGCAGCCATGTTTTTGTCTTTTCACTCTCTTGGGAATGCTTGCAACCCATCAGTTGGATAGATTCCTGATTAAATTCTTTGAGGCCAAGATCTGTACGCATCTGATTTTTACTGGGGGAGGAGATCAATGCATGCAATGTTGAAACACAAGAACAATATTAAACTTGGAAAAGTTTACATAATATCAAGCAGAGCTTTACACTGGGTGCAAGATATCCAACGACTGGAACAGATAAATTGTACATTAAAAATCATGACCGTGAAGTACTCAAGTTGCAAGTCACAGAGCATCTCTCAATTACATGCACGAAACCGTGAAGATTTTTTTTGAGGCATAATAGATTTTGGTGGACATCAATCAGTGTTTCCCAGCATTGTCGGAAAACACAAAGCTTTTAAGGGCACATGCCTATGGAATGTCATGGAAACGCCTTGATTGATGTCCACCAAAACCTACTTTGTCAGGATGGCAAATAATTGTAGAATTATTTCATGTGTGTAATTGAGAAGTGCTGTAATGCAATACTCCAATTTGAAGAGTTCTTTTACTCATTATTCTCTTAAATAATGAACCATTTGGTGGGGTAAGAAGTATTTGTATAATTCAAAAGAACAGGGTCGACTTAACAGATCTAAAATGTATTTGAGAGTTGTGACAGTTATGCTCTCAGGGCTGAGACTAAACAAAAAAAACCTGGAGCACTGTGGAGTCAGAGAATGTACCAGCAGTTAAAATATACAACAATCCTTTGAGATTATCAGTTTAAAATCTTCCCCGTCCACGCCCTCTACCACCACGCCCTCTACCCCCTCGTCTATTTCCTGAGAAATTGTCTGGCATGCTTTGCCCTTGGACTTTGCCATTTGCAGCTCCGCTGCGTCGGCCAGGAGGCATATAAACTTGGAAGCCACCAGATTTTCTTGGCTTTGGTCTCGAGGCTTGATTTGTAGCAGATTTTTTCTCTGGTGGGATGTCAAAGGTGATTGGTGTGATTCCTGCTCGTTTACGCCTAAATGAACAAAATAACAGAAGACTCATGAATATTTAGTTTTAAATGAAGCTGAAAATAACTTCTCAATAGGTTACTTACTTTTCATCTAACTCTGGGTTTTGTTCAGCACTGGGTTGTGGTGGACTAGATGTACTAACATTTACTTTTGACTGCAAAAAATAGCATAATTATAATTATAATAATGTAATAATAATATGATAATAATAATAATTCRATAGTTTTAAGTAGGCCTGTATCCTGCCTGGACTCTAATTTTCCTTTTACACCTTGCCACCCCCCTCCCTTCACATTATATGATGGACCATTCAAAACGTTTCACCCAACATGTCCAGCATGTGGGAATGTGGGAAGCACTATGTCATCATGTTACGTCCATCAATAAACTTACTGGTGATTTCCAAGATAGAGATACAAATGTCTTGTATGCAGGAGGATTATGGAACAAGTCCTGTAAAAGATAAAGTGTCATAAGTGTTTTAGTCTTAAACTATTACAGCCTGTTTCATGTTTCATGACCTAACCAACTCCAGATGTCTGGTGTTTTGGGCTCTGTCAATCAAACTAGTGATGGGCTGAGTGGATTCCAATCATAAGTGATAAAAATTTCCATGACCCAACAGCCAATTTCTAATGGGAAAATGAATGTCAAGTCACTGGTGTCAAGTCAGTGCAATGTTTTTCCCTGGCAATTGGAATGACTCAGTGATAAATTCAATTGACAGATTTTCTGGAACTATAACTTAATAATTAATACTTGAAGTACCTTAATTATTGTGTTGATGTTGTTGGTTGTTCTTAGAGCTGCTACTTTCATTTTGTTCTCTTCTTCTTGTAATGCAGCACCAGTCTTGCCCTGAAGGGCTATTTTTATTTGCTTGATGTATATTTGACAACCTTGTGCAAAATACTGCAATCTGTAGAACACACACAAAAAAAAAGTGTTACTATCAAGTTCAAAYATGTGTGGCTAAGTGTATCCACACACACTTGTTTTAAGGAGCAAGTGTGGCTTGGTTGGTTAGTGTGCTGCCTGCTAAGCAAGAGATCCATAGTTTGATCCTCAGTGATCTCATACAAAAATTATTGTTTTAAGGAGCAAGTGTGGCTTGGTTGGTTAGTGTGCTGTCTGCTAAGCAAGAGGTCCACAGTTTGATCCTCAGTGATCTCATACAATTGTTTTAAGGAGCAAGTGTGGCTTGGTTGGTTAGTGTGCTGTCTGCTAAGTGAGAGATCCATAGTTTGTTCTTCAGTCGCCTGTAACACTTGTTTTAAGAGCAAGTGTGGCTTGGTTGGTTAGTTTGCTTAAGGATCTCACCTCTTTGGTTTACTGTATTATAGTGTTTGGTGCATTCAATACCTTAATCTAAAATCTTTCAATCTTTCTGTCGCTTCATCTCCCGTTAAAAATTCTTGGTGCTGCAAGAAAAAGTTATATCACAAAAGTGTTAATGATTATGAGGGCATTTATACTTGTATATAATATTAAGCACACATGCCACAACGGCTTTTTGCATGATAGTAGAGTTTGTTGCATTTCTCCTTTAATTTGAGGCTTTCTACCGAGTGCTCTGGTTCTCCTCCCTGTGCACAACCTAACATGCAAACTTCCAATTCTATCTGTGAGTCCTGAGTTAACTGTAAACCTTTACTGTTTTGACAGAATTCATAYGTTGTTTTGTAATACCAGGTGTGTAGCGAGGACCTAGGAGCTGGGGGGTCACTGATCCAAAATAAGAAAAAATTTCAAATTCCCAYGTGCAGATTCCAGGCTCTGACCGGGTTCGCAGTGCACAGGTAGCCCGTCCGGATAACTTCGTATAAATTCGCACTTTTGTAGGTCGTAATAATTCATTTTCCTCTTTCGTTTCGGTTTAATATGTTTTTTTTGTTGTTATTCTTTTTTCAAAATTTTTTTTTTCAAAAATTTTGGGTGGGGCACGTGCCCCCCCTCGCTACGCTGTGTAATACTATTTCACTTACATTTTTTGCTAGACTGTGGAATGCATAAAGTAAGCACTCTACGAATGAAAACTGTAGCTTAGGTTCAGAACCTTCTTCCTTTTTGTCTTCAGAATCCTCTGCTGGTGGCAGTGGCATGTATTCCTGGAAAAAAATGATTCAAATTTTTCAAAACACTCTCTCCAAAGGAGCAGAATTTGGATAAAATCTCTCCTACCCCTGAAAAACTAATCAGGCCCCCCTACCTCTGGTATTTGGAGGTGAAACGAGATCATGTAAGTAATATCCTATTACTTGTTTAAACAATTCTTCCCATTGTCCTTGGTTTACAAGGATAACCCTTAATAGCTGTGGCTAAAAAACCTGTGGCCTTATTCCATGCTCCAATTTGAATTTAGAAGTTGATTTTATGTTTATATATGGGATATATATAGGTTTCAAAGGYTTTTATTTTTCCACACACGAAAAAGCAAATAATTACAAATAGAAATTAAGAAAGAAGTGGAAAGGGGCAGGAGGAACAACCCAAAAGGGGTTAACTAAGAAAGATCCTGCACCAATGTAAACAATTTTAAAGAAATAGTGAATGGCGGAATATTATACTTACAATAAAATAGTAAAATAGAAATCAAGCATTTTTGAGTTGAAAACAGTAACAGTAAAGATTTACATTTACGAGTTAAATGTAAGAACTTGTAGTTTACTGAGATATGAGGTATTTGAAATAATACCAACATGACTATGTTATTGCAATTTTGAGCTGCCAATACGACCGCAATATATTTATGTCAATGCCATCAATATAAAACTGGTTTTGGTGACACAAAACTGCAATCAGTTTTGTATCGCGATTCTCCTATCGCAAGGTAATTATGAACCAAGGATATGGGTTTATTTTCAGCTGCTCTCTCACAATCAACCTTATAGGAGAATCCCAATACTTATATCCTAGTACAAACCTACCAGGAGTAATGTAAAGACTGGTTCAATAGCAGCTTTTATCGTCTCTTCCTTCAAGCCACAAGGTGACATCTCTGCTAACAGTTTCAGAAGCTCCAGCTTTGAGTCTCCACATTCACTGAAGTGAGGCAAGATTTGTTCCAGCAGGTATGAGAAAAACGGCTCGGCAGATGCTCCTTTCTGAAACACACACAAATGTTTTCCCATTTCAGATCATGTGTCATTCCCTTGAGTATTATTTCTTTGTTTGATGGTTGCACATGAGAAGACACAAAATATGAACACAATTGAAATATAGGATCTTATTCTTAAGAGGAGGACTTGTGATCTGAAATGTAGATAAAATACTACTATATTCAGACCAACTGAATTCTGGGTTCCAGAATGTTTGCTTTGTTCTAGTTTTCCCCTGACACCCAGGTAGACAAACTATTTAGGGTACGTTACAGAGTAAACTTGTTCAAGACAGATTTTAAAAGGAGAGAGGGGCCAAGAGGAACCTATGGGACGACTCCTTATATATTGGACAAGGAGTGGCGATGAGAAAGAAACTTTTTAGGGGAACCTGAAATTTGGGGTTAGGATTTTGCAAGAGTAACAAGGGGTGGGCAGAGAGAAAGAGGGAATTGGGATTACACACTGATTCTTGAAATTTAATAGGAAAGAGGTAAAATTTATTGTTTTTATTGTACTTACAGCAAAGAAAGGAAGACCCTGTCTTGCACAAGAGATAAATCGATCAATGCTATCCTGCTCTGATACCTTTGGAAGTAATATAAATATGAAAATGTTAATAAAAACAATACAAAAACCCTATAGAAAAAAGTTATATAATAACTTATTTCATTTTATCACAAGCTTAGAAAATATCTGTTCATTGCTTCACAATGATCGAGAAATTGTRATATTGATTCAAAATTTGAGACAGGTTAATAAGTAATAGACTACTGTTAATTGAATTACATTTTTTTAAATTAAGACCCCATTTGAATTTCTTTGTTACGTCTTGAAATGCGCCACTGAGCTCCTGGAAATGGCACTATATAATTTGAATTATTATTACATACTCTGACTATTGATTTGAGTGACTGAAGTTTATCACCTTTTTACCTGTGGCAACTTTTCTCTTTATTAGTTCGCAGCAATATTAGAACATTGGTAGATATGTTGCTTATACAAAGACATAAATAGAGGATAATGAACCTAAGAAACTGCAAATTATCTAAAGATGCATCATTTTAACTATCAGCATGTAGTCTCAGAATAAGGACAAGTAGTTATAAACATCATGGCCAACTTCTGATCTGTTAGGATCAGAACTGCCATTTTATTAGCCGAGAGATCTTCATCATAGACTACAAGTCAGATATGGAACTTCATTCTGTTTTTAGTGGGGGAGGGGAGGGGAGGGGAGG